GGTCTATGAAAGTTGAGTAACCAATCTTCTTACATAGTATAATTCAGATTGTATTATTTTGAATTTTATATAACAATGAATTATAAAAAATTCTTTATAATAGTGGAGAAATTGTTTTTTCTTGATCTATACTATCTCCTACAACTATTGAACTAAAAAGTTTATTGGGAAGAATGATGCTACAACTTCTATCTTTGAAAAAGATTTATTATAATTTTCTTGATAATTGTAGAGATTTGAATCTAATTTATGGCTTTTTTAAACATGAAGAGGGATATTATATCATATGTCTTAGCAGTGTCTTGAAAGAGGATTTATAGTTTTTTCTCTTTTTCTTTAGCTTCCTCACATATACTATTTAATAGATGGATAGGTTCTGCTATACTTTTTCTTGATAAGTCAGAAAGTTTAAATTTTTAAGGATTTATGTTGTTTATATATCCTTGATAGATGATTGGTAAGGATTTTAATAAAACATTTTAAAGCTGTTTCTAGAAGAACAATGGATCTAATATTGTTCTGTTGATATCTCTAAGGCTTATGTTTAGGAATAGGATAGATATCACTACTTTTCTATTTCTTAAATATCTGCTTAGTTCTTAAAACTTTGTTAAACAACAAGCATAAGACCCCTTTTCTTTTAATATCTAAGTGCTTAAGCATTTTATAACTTATATATGAGGAACCGGCTGTCTTATTGTTTGTGAGATGTTGCAAAATAGCTTTGAGCTCCTCTATTTTGATTTTCTTTATTAGTAATAAATACTATGTTGGATTGATTCACTCTTTGGGTTGGTATTCTTTTTTCCAAAAAGGATCTAAGCTTTCAAAATTGATATTCCTTTGTTTAAAAGCTTCTTTATGGTAGTTCTCAACTTTGCTTTTGATAGTTTGTGAATTAGTAATAATAATTCTATTCCCTCTTGATTCTTGATTAACACTCAATCTAGTGTAATTCTTGGTCTTTTACAGTTCAAGATTGAGTACATCATCCATTTTTGGTTGAACTTGAGGTCTTCACACATGCTTTATAAGGCTTCTTTAATTTGATTTTTGATGTGATAACTTTCTTTCTTCTTGTATACCATTCTGAAACTATACTCTATTTCAGTGATCTTTGATAACAACTCTGAAATTTCTTTTTATAACCAGGGAGGAACTATTTTTTTTTCAATGAGTTTATCAACCCTTTTTAGTTTCTGAATGGTCTTTTCAATATCTATAGAATTCTTGTATCCAGATGGCTTATATTTTCTTCAAATGAAAGTAAATCTTGTTAGCTTCCCTGTAGGCTTTAAAGTCTTCCTTTGGGATTGTTGATCCAGGTTTCATTTTTTTCTTTATATTAGGAGTAGGGTAGATTCTTTTTTTTTAAGATATTTGTAAGCACTTTTGATAATTGTTGGCTTGAAATTATATCAGGTCTCTTTAAGCTCTTGAGAACTATTCTCTACTCTTGATTAGAGAGGTTATGGATCAGTTTCTGGAAATTTGTTTTCTATCCAGAATTTAAATTTCTCTCATTGTTCTGCTGTAGAATTCACTGGATCAGATATTTTCTTTCCTTTTGTTTTACATTGCTCTTGCATTTGATTCTTGAACAAATTGTTTGTTGTCATTCTTGTTAGTAATAAAGTATAATTATTATTTAATAATGTTTCTATGGAAATGTTTTTGAATTTATATATATTGTTTAAACTGATTTCTAGTGATGACCAAATATAGTTGATTCTACTATATAATATATTGTTTGCTTATATAAAGATAGTGTTTTCTTTTTTTCAAGAATTTTGGATAGCTATATAATTCCAGTCTTCTAAAAAGTTAAAAAGACCTATTTCAGCTTTCTTGTATCTTGATATCCTTTTATTAGTAGATAACCAATCTGCTATTGAATTTATAACTGTGTTAAAATCTTTTATAATTATAATCTTGAAATAATTTTTCTGTTTGTCTAGAATTTTGTTTTGAAGAAATTGTTATAGCTATCTACTAACAGTTTTCTCTAATAACAGATATACTTGATAGATACAAAGTTTGTATCTTGTTAATAAAAAGTTGGCTCCTATTATATAGCCTTTTATTTTTTCAATAGATTCCAACTTTTTCTTAATATTTTTATTAATGAGAAGTTCTATTCCAAATCCTCTGGGTTTCTCATTATTGCTAATGTAAAAAAACTTAAGTGTTTGTTATAAGATAAAAGCAAATTCTGCTGCTTCATTTGTTAACTTGATTTCATAGAAACCTAGAATATTTATATTAAATTACTGTATAAGGTTATATAGCCTTTATTGATTCAGACTGATATTAATTCCTCGAATATTATGTGTTCTGATTGAGATAGTATCCGTTAATGTAGAATTATCTATAGTATACTTGTTATATAATGTATATTCCTTTTCAATTCTATTACTAGTATTCTTTTTTATTGTACTAATGAAGTCATCTAGTAATATGTCATGTGTTATATTGGAAATAGTTATGTTGGTGTTTGTTGTTTTCTTCAGAATTGCATCTTTTTCCAGAATGAGCTTGTTTTCTCTTGTAGATCAGATTCTCTCTTGATATATTTTGATTAGACTAGTATTAATCTCAGGAGTGAGTGTTCTATCGTCTCCCTTTTACCTTATTTTGATTATCTGTTTTCTTCTCGATTAGATTTATTCTGCTATTTAATCATTTTAGATTATTCAGGATCTGATAAAGAGGATCTTGATCACTTTCACTTTTAGAATAGAGACTTTTAAATCTATTGTACAAAATTCTTTTTTTATTATGATAATTAATTGACTCCCTATTACTATCAGTTGCATAGTATTTGGAAGTTTTTATTGTTCCAGTAATATATTTGTTGCCTCATCATTGTGTCTTCTTCTTTTTTCCCTTCTTTCTAGATCTGTTCTTTTCTTAGTATTACTTTATGTTTTTGAGTATTCTTCAGATAATATATATAAGCTTGCCCTGATATTGCTTCTAATGTTAGTTTGATCCAATTATCTTGAGTGCAGTTTGGTTTATGTTGTTTTAGAGTAGGCTTTTTCTTTATTATCATTATTATTTTTAGTTTGAGTCCCTTTATTGTCTTATATTGTTTCTTTTCCAAAGTATTCTTTAGTATTATAGCTGAGTTTGTGATCATATATAAATATATGTTATTTAAAAGCCTTGTGCAGATCTTCTGCTATTGCAAAACAAACTACAGCATATTCTTTTCTTTTTAAAGTAAATGGATTTCTTAATATATAACATGTTTTGATCCTTGTATATTATGTTGCTCTTACTATGAGACTTATAAAGGTATTGTATATTTTATACAATTGTAGAGACTAGCTGTTATGATTTTTGAAAATGATATCAACTTTATAATTATCTGGTTCATGTTGGATGAAAATTACTCTAAAGATAACTGTTTTAATATGAATGAACTATCTATTCTTCAAGTCTTATTAGTTTGAACTGAGTCATGCCTTGATTCTTTTTTGAGAGTGAGAGTGATTGTAAATATGGATACTTAAGACCTTTTCATATTTCTATAAGGCTACTTTAATTTCTTGATGAGTATAGCTGCAGTTCAAATCAATCAGTATAGAAACCACTGTCTTGTTTCCTTTTTTTGCTATCTCTTGTTTGAAGAACTTCTTTTTTGATGATAAGTATGAGATTTTTTATTTTTCTGCTTGTATAGAAATTAAGGTAAAGTTTTTTTCTTTTTTCTTATTGATATTCTCTATGTATTGTAAAGCATATTCAACTTCTTTAAAGATAAAAGTTGTCCAGGCATTACCATTGAAAAGTCTTTTCTGAATAGTAGCATGTCTTTGAATAGACTTAGGGTATCTTGGAAATAGGTTATTCATTCTTTTTCTATATTTCCTAATATTCTAGAAATAAGAATTCCAATCTTGAATTCTCTTCTTTTAGTAATATGAAATGGTTGTAAAAATAAAGCAAGAATTGAAAGATATTAATTAATTAAAATAAAGCATACCACTTTTCTTTTTTCTTCTAGTATCTCTTTTGTAATATAAAATTTTCACTCTTATTTAAACTTGTATAATTTTTTTCAAATTTGTAGTTTTTTTTTGAAAATAGGATAAAAATATGAATAGTAACAAACTATAATCTAAGACATATTTCTTTTTCTCCTTTTTTTTCTTTTTTACTTATGAAATTTATTTGTAAATACTAGTCATATTCTAGATTAGTTCTCTTTTGTTTAAAAGAGATGATCTAGTCACAAGATGATATACTTCTTTCAGAAGTTCTTCTATTGTAACACTTTATTGCTTAGATAGTTTTGATATACAGTTGGAGGAGTTTTCTTTCTTTATTTTCTAAAGTTTCAATAAAGTTTTAGCTTTGTTAACAAAAAAAATAAAAAAAGAAAAAGAAAAAGATTTTCTTTTTTCTTTTTTTTCAACCTATCCACTTTGTAATTTCCTGTATTCCAATGGTTTGTTAGAATATATAATAGTGCAATCTGTTAGCAATAATAAATATATGGATTGAAAAGGTCTTTACTCAAAGTCTATTAAGAAACAAAATATTGTTTTCAAGATCAAACTTAAAGGCTATTACTGTTTATAGTGAGTTAGTTAAATTTGATTAAAAAAGTTTAGCTGTAGTATGTATCTGTTGTTCAAATAAAATGTACTTATGTTTTCAATTGACTAATAAACTACAATCTAGCCTGGCTATGAGTATTACAAAAATATTTTTTATTTTTATCTTTAATACAGTATATTGATCTTAAAATTAAAAAAAAAAATTATTTAAAAAAAGTATAAATTGTTTTGTTACTTATTTGCCTTATTCCAAGATTACATACAGTATATGCAATCAAATTTCTATCCCACGCTTTGAAAATGCCATAACAATTTTAACGTAAACTTTATTAAATTTATTATTTTAAATAAATAAATCTTTCCATTGTTCTACCTGAAACTGAATTCAAGAATAATTCTTAGGTTATCTATAGTTTCCTGATAAGCCAATAATTAATCCATCAACATGTTTTCGACTTCATCGACCGTCTTAGCAAGAATGGTCGCGGGAAATTCATATCTATTTTTCGGATCTTTTATGGCTTCACTTATTCTTTTATACATTTCAACGAACATCTTGCTCACTCTCTTATTAACTTTCATAGCCAATTGCGCGGGTAACTTTAACGTATCATTGTGAGCAAAAAATAAGGACGAGTCCAATCGGGCCATTACATTGGTTAGAGTGTTAGTATCCATGTTAGGCATAAGTGATAGTGGTGTCTAGTAAATGTTTTATGAACATAATATATATATATTGTTAAAGAACATATATCTACAAGGCAAATAATTATTTAGTAAAAATGAACATACATCTTCGTCTTTGGTTTCCATAACCTGAACTATTGGACCCAATCCAGATAGCCTCAACAGCCTTGCATACTATATTTAAACAATAAGTAAATAAAAAATTCCATATTTTTTTTAAGGAAAAAGTTAATATTTCTAGTATTTCTTCACCTGTCCATCTACCAATATCTCCAAATTCTCTTCAATCTGCTTTTCCAATGCCATAACTCTTCCGCGAGTAAATGTGTATTTGGTCAATGATAACTACATAAGAGAATAAATTAATTACCATTATTTTCAGATGGAAAATACAAAAAATATCTTACCTGTACATGGTAAAGACAATTGACCATATAGATAGCTTGGTTAAATCGTGATAGGTCTTTTGCACCTAATTCGCACATCTGGAATAAAGGATCCAATATGGCATCTAAAACTACGCGGAAGTCATCCTCGCGCTCATTGGTGGTGACCAAAGATGTTTCATATGAAGCCATTATTTCATTCTATATATATATATATTAAGAATATGTCCAAAAATCTAAAATACAAATAAGCGCAGTTTCAAATAATCACCAATTGTAATACGGTTTCTTTCACCGCCGGCGGGGGCATTAGATCCGGGCCTGGAGTCTACCATATAATATAACGCGTTTTTATAATATATAAATATGCATATCTTGGTTATAAGTAAATAAGCATACTTGTATATATCGTAATAATTGTTCCGCTTGAGAATTTAGTGTATTGAAAAAAATCATAGACGCGGATTCTGTAATCCTACATATTAAACCAGAATAAGTAAACAAAGAGAATGCTTCGTCAAGATAAGATATAAATATCCCTACTCTTGAAGTGTGTTTGACAAAGCAGCATTAGGACCCAAAATCCTTCCTATTGTAATTTTGTAGAATTGTATTAAGTTCAAAATTCTGTATGCTGTTATCGCCCCTTGTTGTGATCCCAAAACCTGTTCAACACGTGTCTGAAATAGATTTTTCGCTTGATGATTAGTCACTTATTTAAAAGCAATAAATCTCAATTGAACTTGAAAACAAATACTTTCAACGAACGACAAATGCCATCAAAATCACGATCCAATAAATCCTGAATTATTATGTCATCGCTTTCCCCTGTTATATTTCCATTGTCAGCCTCCACCTCCTGTTCTAAAATCATAATAATATACTTCAATACCATAGTTTTCACAGTAAAATTTCACTAATCAAAATCATTTGAAACTTTAGGACTAACTTTTACATTCAAACAACCCTTCCAGATATTCTTTTTCGCTGGCGACATTTTGATGCACCCAGGCCAGCATATCTCCAACATAACGCAATGGGTCATGCGCGAGCATTTCTATCGGACGAGGAGTACCACCGGGACCACCTCGAGTCAATGCTTCCATAAATGAACGTACGATCGCATTCCTCCT